CCAGCTGGGTGGGTGTCCGGGGACTGGGAAGAACTTGTTGCCTCTTCCTTTGCTACCTGGTTGAGCAAGGAGCAGGCAGCCAGCAAGACTGGGATTATGGGATGGCATCAGCTAGATGAGCCAAACATCATAGCTGCCTGTGAGCAGAGTGAGAGCTCCAGAGGAGTAAGTAGTAGGTGGGAAACCAGCAGGGACACTACCACACGCCCAAGACCTCCCCCAGCCTTCCTAATGCCACCCATTTTCAAAGAATCCCCCTTTTGCATATCAGAGTTAGCACCTGGATGTGCTGGTGCTTCTTAACACCATGGGGGACTACATGGCAAAGCCCACACTCCTGCATGTTAACTACGCTAGATGGGTTTTGGAAGTGATGTAAATATATGCTTTGAATTCACATTACCAGCTCTGTGGGCGAGGCAGCCTTCACTTGAGCATTTCCTGATGTTTCTATTTTTAAGTTGATACCCAGGTTGTTACTTGAACACAGGTTTTGCCCTTTAATTCTAAAGGATTTGGGGTTGCCAGCGGCTTGGCTGACAGTGGCACTAGTGGGCTCTGCACTGATGCACAAAACAGGAAGACACTGAGTTACTAGGTGTCTGATATGTGAAGCCTGACGTTTCCCTAGTTTTCTGTAAGGAACTGTAGGGCGTGCGGGACAGCAGGAGGCAGTCATCTTCCGGGATAGCCTGCCAGGTGTGTCGTCACTCTCCAAAACATGTGTTTTGGTTAAAGGAGAAAGATGTCTGAGCCTGGTTTCAAGTATGGCACCTGACATGGTACCTGGTACCCAGTGGGTGCTCAGTGCTCAGCACCCATCTGACGAGGGAATAAATAAATTGAATGATAGGTCCAAATGGAGGACCCGAGACTAGGACTTGGGTCGATGCAGCTCTGCTCCTGCAACTGCTGAGTAGAAGAAGGTCTTGTTGGCCATGTTAGATGTTAGATGTTTCAAATTCTAAGATCTCACCTCAAATAGTTAATTTCCACAAGGAACAAGATGAGACAGACAGAAGGGTATGTTCACCGGATATAAATAGATGTCTTGACTTGAATTTGTAATTCTGTTATTTTTCATTATTTACAATCATATTGGCCAAAGACTCTTCTGGAGTGAGTCTGAACATCTGTACTGTAGCATGCTGAGCACGAGGTGGGCAGGAGGCACATGCTTATCGTTATCTGATAGGGATAAAATGTCCTAACATGTGTCATAGTGAATATGTCCATACGAGGAGGCTCTCCCAAGGTGGAAAGCAGATTTTGGGTTGGGAAGGGAAAGATATATTTACTCACTTAAGCAGCTGATGCTCAGGACGTGGGCAGAGGCTAAATGGGGCTATACATAGGCTTCTGGCACCCCGGACAGGATGTCAGTGTAAGGCCTGTTTGAAACAGCTTTGTAAATATGCATTCGAATTTTACTGGTCTACAATTCTTTTTTAGCCAGTCTGCTATTCTGCCAGAACCTAGTTTGTTCTCATTTCTCTTCTAGAAAGAATGCTAAGGGCATACTTTTTACGGGGATACAGGTCCTGGTGAGGTTTGAGGCTCCTGGAGCGAGGTCTGCAGCCGTGGACCCTGTCACACTCAGCGTCCCCTGTGCTTTGTCATCTCCAGAACAGCGTTGGCACATTGCTGGTGGGGTTGGAAAAGAAAGAAGTCACTGCAGAGACTATGTTGATGCTCAGATACCATTCTGCCTCTGTGACATTTGGGTGGTGGAACAGCCCCGAGATTTCCTGTCTTGGCAGGGCTCAGGAACTGCCCAGAGCTGCCTCCTCCTCTTGGATGCCCGGGGCCAGCCTTAATGGGAGTTGGTTCCTGTGATCCATCCTGTCCAAGCTCATGCCTCAGACAGGATCCAAGCTACACCAAAGGCTCCCTGAGGGGAAGGGTACTGAAGTTGATAGGGGAGCCTCACTGATTCATAGCAAAGCCTTTTATCCTGGGACAGGCAGGGTTTTGATAGGAAGGATATCAAATGTTATGTTACCAGATAAACCTTTTGCCTTTGTTAGAGGTAAAAAGTGGTTTTGGGAGTTTTCAGCATTTAAGTTCCAAAGTTTTGTGAATATATTGAATGGATGACTCAGAATTCACTTGGCACCTGCTTTTGACATCAGCCATGTTATTTTCACTCGCATCCATCTGCCTCCTCCCGGCTCCAGAGCTCCTCATGCCCGTGCCGTCTCTGACATCTTCAGGGGATGCGAGGCCGCCTTCATCCTTGCATCTGCAGAACATAGTACATCCCTGACGTAGAGCAGGTGCTGTAGAAGTCTTCATCATGAATAAATGCATCAGTTGTGTGTCATATTTCCTGTACCTGATACAACTCTTTGGAGATACCAAAGCTCTTCATTTACAAGGTAAAGGCAGCAATCATGAAAATTTGATTCTGTTACCTAGGTAATGTACTTTAATATTATATGGCTTCTGTGACATTGCTCTTTCTTGATTTCCTTATACTTCTCTGACTATTACTTCTCTATAAAGAGAGGTACCTCCTTTGAGGGCCTCTCCTCTCCTGCGCCCTGTGATTGGCATTTTGCTAAGATTGGTTCTCTCCTAGGTACTCTTCCTGTCTCCTTCTGTGCATTCTCCCTGGGGGCGCCATCCATCTCCGTGGCTTCACTGCCAGGTGTACTCTGATGACTCCAAATCCACATCCGTGTGCAGAGTTTTCCTGGATGACTTGACTCTTGTGCGCCTGCCATCAGATGGCCCACGTGTCTCAAGCTCAGCATTGCCAAAGCTAAGCTTGTGATTCCCACTCCCACCCTGTCCTGTTCCCCATCTGCCCAGCCACTTCAGGTGTAAAAGCCAGGCATCTGCCTTGATACCTTTCTTTTCTGTATGTCCTTCTACGAAGTAGGTAGCAAAGAGGAGACCCGCAGGTCTACCTGTGGAGACTCGGTATTCACTTCACATCTTTGCTGTGACTATCCTGTATTCGTCTGGGTCCCTACACCTTGTACCCACAGTGTGGCTGTGACTCTCTGACCTATGTTTTTCCCAAGGTCTTGCTTCTATCAATTCCTCCATCCCAGGGCCCTCTCTCCGCCCTGCCCCACTCTCTCAGCTGCAGCCACGCTCAACAAGTTCCCAGATCTGCTGACCTCTTCCTACAATTTGCCTGTACTTAGCTGCCTTCTGGTCATGGAATCCCTTCTCCCCACCCTGCTTGGTCTTCAGCTTTAAAAACAAACACATACCCCTCAGATTTAAAGACTTTGCTCAAGTGTCTCCTTTGCTATGAAGTCATTTAGGGCCCCAAGGACAATTAACTTCCTTCCTGAGTATGCCCACTCAACCCTGTGTGGACTTCCCTCACATCATCTGTGACATTGTGTTGTACTCGGGTCTCTGTCTCCTCCTCCCTCACCAGTCACCTCCCCCCAGACTAGAAGGTCACCTTGAGAGTAGCAACTGCATCTCATTCATCTTTGTATCCCCAGCACCTAGCACAACACCTGGAAAATAGCCAGTGCATGTTGAATGGATGGATGGAAAGGTGCATTTATGCTGAATACAGGAGGCTCTTTTCTTTTGTGAATTCTGTCAGTTGGTCTCCGTTAAACAGAGGTGCACACAGTAGCCTAAGGAGGCAGTGATGGAAGAACAGTGGTAGATCACTTTTGGTTTAGGGTCTAATCTTGCTTCCCATACAGTCAGCCTGCTGGTGAATGGACTGCCTCTGTGGTGTGGTGTTGGGGGCCTGGGAGAGGTGAGCCCAAGTATCCCCACCTGTCATTGCTACCCAAATTTTTCCCAGGGATGGCTCGTGCTTTTGTGATCAGCACTGCCTTATCCGGGCTAACTTACTCTACACCCAACAACAATGAAGTGTGACTTGGACTATCTGGTCCTTTTCTGGTTGGAGTTAGGGTGTTGGAAGAGGAAATTGGAGCTTTAGAATACTGTAGACCATGCAGATGTTTTCTTTAGGTCTTCTCTTGTCTTAGAAGCAAGTGCCTGTGTAGTAATTGGTGATGTCAGCATGGATCATGGTCTGGCATTCCTATGCATTAGTTTTATCAACTGTCTAGGGCTCCCAGAGCTTCTAAGGGTCTCCTACAGACCATTGTCCTTGCCCTCATCATGCTGGATGGTTTCTTTGTCAATATCTATTCGTGCCTTTTTGGCCTAGATCAACTCAGACAGGTAGGAGATCGTGACTTCTTGTTGTAGCTGACTGGGATCAGAAGCCATCTGGTTCACCTAGTTGAAGGGACAGTCCACCAAATATAATAATTAGAAGGGAAACCTATGTTATATTTTGATAGAGGCTAGTTTTTCCATCTTTCTTGAATTTGTTAGTTTGAGAACCACTGGAAAGAATTGGTGAGGATGGCACGTGTGTATCATCATAGGCTGGCAAACTACGTGCTCTTCCTATGGTTAATATTATTTCTGAACCCTTACTCTGAAGTTAGCAAAGGTTTGCTGTGTCTCTGGGCACTTTCAGTTTAGGATGAAATTGTGGTTGATGTCAGAAAAAGAAGAATCATGCTTGCAAATGAGCAAGTTGTGGGTTGTAATAAGAATCTGTGATATCACATCATTGGTTTTCCAAAATATGCCTGGTGATTTTGCCCTCACTTAGCCAAAAATAGAGAGGTACCAACAATGGTCACTGCTCTTTGATTCTTGGTCTGAATAAAGTATTTAAGGTCAGAGCTTAGCGAAGTATAATTTGCACAGCATCAGGAAAAGTGACAGGGCATTTAAGTCATCGTTTTGAATGGTCATTGGTCTCCTTTGACCAAAACAGTCAGAAGATATTGTTTCTTCAATCAGTGAGAACATCTGTTCAGAAGAGCAGCTATATGCATGTTGTAACTTCAGGGTCATAAGAACCACAGTGTACTTCTAGGTTGTTGTTGTTTTCTCTCCTCTTTTTCTTCATGTGAGCCTTTAAACCAGTCATAATTATTCTTTGCAAATGGCCAAACTCACTTTTATGCACGTTTTTTTCACTTCTCATGTAGATTTCAGCAACGTCCCTGACATCACAACTGGCCTGAAAAGGAGTCAGACCGATGGCACGCTGGATCAGGTCTCCCACAAGGAGAGAATGGAGCAGACATTCAGGGTAAGATGCTGTCCCAGACCTCAAACGAGGGCCCAGCAGACAAGCATTAATTCCCACCTTCACCTGAGGCGGGGAAAAACAAATGGAGTTATTCTATCCCTAGGTCCAGCAGTTGAAGCAAAGATTTTTTTTTCCTTAAAGAAAATAGTTTCCTTATTCATTTGAAGTGAAGTACTAAGAGGAACCATTGACTCCACCCAGACCTCCTCCACGACTTCTGGTATGCCACCAAAGAGCAATGCAAACGTGGCCATTCCTACGTCAGGACGGTTTTGACGAGGAAAATCTAAGCTTGGGTATTCTCAAAGTCACATTAAATTACTATTCCATTCATTTTCTACATTTTTTTTTTTTTGGCCGAAGATAAATTATTTTTGGAATGTTGTCATTTTGATGTGGTAAAATCTATAAAACATAAAATTTGCCATTTTAACCATTTTTAAGTGCACGCTGCAGTGGTGTTAAATACATTCACAATATTGTGCAACCGTTACCACTATCCATTTCCAGAACTTTTTCATCATGCCAAACAGAAGCTCTGCACTCATTAGACAATAACTCCCTGTTCACCTCAGCCCCCCAGGCCCCTGATACCCTCTATTATACTTTCTATCTCATTTGCCTGTTCTAGGTACCTCACGTGAGTGTGATCTGTACAATCTTTGTCCTTTTTGTTTCTGGCTTATTTCACTTAGCATGATGTTTTCAAGGTTCATCCACATTGTAGCAAGTGTCAGAACTTCACTCCTTTTTATGGCCAAATAATACTCCATTATATGGATATACTGCATTTTGTTTCTTCATTCAGCTGTTGAGGGACATTTGGGTGCTTTCCACCATTTAGTAATTGTGAGTAATACTGCAGTGAACACTGGCATACAAATATCTGTTTGAATCCCTGTTTTCAGTTCTTTAGAGAATGCACCAAGGAGTGGAATTGCTTGGTCATATGTATGGTAATTCTATGTTTAGCCTTTTGAGGTGCAGCCCAACTGTGTTCCACAGCGCCGCACCATTTTACATTCCCACTAGCAATGTACGAGGGCTCCAGTTTCTCCACATCCTTGCCAACGCTTGTTATGTTCCATTCCTTTCCCTCATTTTTAACTGTTCATAGTCAGCTATCCTTTCAGAAATGGCCTGATTGACGTGATCTGTTTTAATACACAGTCCAGTTTTAATTGATTTTGAAGTTATGACTGTTTTATATTTCTTGCTTTTGTCTTAAATACAAAATAAGAATGGAGGAAATGTAAGCTATGACAGGTATTTAAATAAAACTTACAGCAGGACCATTCCCCTGTTGGGTTTAGACGATACTACCAGGAGCCCGGCCCTTGGTGAGTGGCCATGTGGCATACCTTTTGGTGACAAGTGACATTCAATGTGAGAAGGGTGGATCAGGTTAGAGCCCTGCCAGCTTTAGAGTGGATTCCAGTGGCCCCGGGCACTAGCCTTCTCCTCTCCTCTCCTTTCCTTTTCTTACCCCCTGCTCTCTCCTGCCATTCCCTATCCACCTCCTCCAAAATCTCCCTTCTCTTCTCTTCTCTTCCTCATACAAAGCAAATACTCAACTGCCTTCACTAGTCTGGTTATGCCCCCAGGACACAATTTCGTTTACTAAACTGAAATCATCAGCATTTTTAGTCTTACTCTGTTCTATCTTTGGCAGGTTATTTACTTTTGAGAACCCAGTATTGTAGCTAATAGTCATCATTTTTTTTTGAAGCAATAGACCATAGAGAATTAAATAGATATGTTTTGATTGCTTTGTCTTAAATTTTTTAAAAAAGCCAATACTTCTGAAACACTCAAGAAGCTGGGCTGTCTATTTAAGGTAAGTGTGCCCATGGGGCACCGTGCAGTGTGGCAGCTTGGGGAAGTCACGTAATGCCATTAGGAATGATGGTTTCCTTTCTGTTAGAGTCTATTTGAGTCCCACATTAAAGTTCTTAAGAAGGAAATTAAATTCTTTTCCAAATTTTATTTTAAGATTCAATAAAATAAATATGCAAGAAGTTACCACCTTACGGGCATTTCCAATTCTATTATTTAACAATGCCTATTATAACTAAACAAAGCATTTACAAAATGAACCTTGGAGCATCAGTTAGAAATTTAGAAAAGGAGAGCCAGCCCTGATGGCCTAGCAGTTAAAGCTTGGTGCTCTCACCGCTTCGGGGGCCTGGGTTTGGTTCCCAGTCACAGAACCACACCACTCATCTGTCAGTTGCCATGCTATGGCAGCGGCTCACATAGAAGAACTAGAAGGACTTACAACTAGGTTATACAACCGTGCACTGGGGCTTTGGGGAGGAAAAAAAAAAGAGAAAAGAAGAAGATTGGCAACAGATGTTAGCTCAGGATGAATCTTCCCCAGCAAAAACCGTTACAAAATAAAAAGGAAATGTAGAAAAGGAGTGAAAGCTGCATTTCAGCTTGAAATTGGAGCTATCTGAACTTGAATTTTCATTGCTAAAATGGTTAAAGAAGAAGGCAAATGTGCAAATACCAAAGAACACAGAAGGAAAAAAATACTGAAACAGTATATTAGCATGTTGGGCATTTGCTGTTAAATTCCTCTCAAGTCTAAAGTAGTTATTATCTCACTTTTTTCAAATTTGAAGATATCCAACTACCTATAATAGTGGATTTCAGTACATTTTTAAGAAATTCTAGTGAAACGCCTAGCGGTTACTCAGTTCACATGTTCTCTGTTCCTTGGGAGAGAAGAATCAGTGACCATCAAAAGTAGCAGTTGTGGGGCTGGCCCGGTGGTGTAGTGGTTAAGTTCGTGCGCTCCACTTCAGCAGCCCGAGGTTCGCAGGTTCAGATCCCAAGCGCCGACCAACGCACCTCTTGTCAAGCCATGCTGTAGCAGCATCCCATATAAAGGAGAGGAAGATGGGCACGGATGTTAGCCCAGGACCAGTCTTCCTCAGCAAAAAGAAGAGGCTTGGCAATGGATGTTAGCTCAGGGCTAGTCTTCCTCACATACACACACAAAAAGTATTAGTTGTGATGGATATTAGTGAAAAGAAAGTTTTCAATCTAAGACAAAAAAAGTTTTTTGTTCTGTGTTATTATTATTGTTAGCCTCCTAGAAACATCAGGTTATGTCTAAAAGCAATCCTTTTCTGTTTTCCAAATGGTGATGTTGGAATTCTACAATGCGTGCCCAGTGTGTGTGGGCATGGATCTGTTGGGGTCATCCTGGTGCTGTCCCATGGTGTCCACAGGAGGGGGTCATCTCCAGAGAGGAGACCTGCCTCCCGGGCTTCCTGCTCTGGCCCCTTGAGCCTTCCCAGGGGTCATTAACTTCTTTTCAGATTAGACCCTGATTGAACCTGGGTTGTTTGGGGTATTTTACTAACAATATTCTAGACTTTGGAATAAGGAATAATTTCCCTTGAAAATGAAACGCACCCTGGCTTGATGCAGCACAGCTGTAAGTAGGGCTTTTGACAGCCCCGCAATTTCTGCAAATGGTTCATAATTGATTGCCTTCTTTCTCTTCGAGGGTGCCTATTACTGTCACGGCTCTTTGTGTGGCCCTGTCAACCTCTCCTGTGTGGGGGATTTTTTTTTTCAGGATTGTTAGCAATTAGCTTGCACTATTGTAATAGTTTGGAGTTTGAAAGGAATAAACAATTTCTCTTTGGGTGAGGGGGTTGAGCTTCTGGTTCATTCTGGGAACTTGAGGTGTGTTGAACAGTCCCTGCAGAAATGCTGCTTGTGTTCTGTTTTCGGCTCTCTGAGCTGACTCTGAAGAGGTGGCACTTCATGGTTCTGTCGTCTCTGCGTGTACCCTAACCTGGTGCCTTCCCAGGGCGGGCAGGCTCCCAGCTTGGGTGGAAATGCAGAGGAAGGGGGTGAGCCTTCCCCAACCACTGGTGCTGCCTTGGAGGAAGAGCTTGGTGGCGCTAGGACATCCTTGTGAGTGTGACTTGGAAGAACAGTTGGGGATTTTTTCATTGCCTGGGGATGAGAGTGAGAGAGAACGTGGGTCTCACTCATTTCCCAACAGCTGACTGTAGATGTAATCGTCTCTCCCGGAGGGAGCAGGCTTCTTTGAACTTTTCCTTTTCATGTACAGCGTGTAAGTAAACGAGGCTTTGATTCTCAGGGATGTGGATTCTGATCCAAATGTAGCATGCTTGCATGGTTTCCTTTTCTCTGCCTTGAAAGTCGATTTTACTCTAAAATGTCTAAAGACTGTTATGCAGGTGAGAATATAAGCCTTTCTTTCCAGAAGGGATCCTGACAGGAATCTTTAAGCGCTCTTGACAGCGAAGGAGAAGAGAATTTCTTTTGGATGCTAGTTGTTCTGTGGCACTGTCAACTTCTCCTTTCTCATTCCAAGGATGCATAGGTCTTTAAATGGATCTCTGAAATAGTTTTGTCCTTTTGAAATATAAAGATATCAGCAAGTCCTAGGGAAATTTTCAATATTTACTCTGTAAAATACATTTGAAAGAGAGAGGAATCATTTGAAGACTGGAAATAATTTTATGCTTTGTAAAATTTTGTTGGAGTGTAGCACAGACTTGTATTGGGCTTAATGCTATAAAAGAAAATCCACAAAAGCGAAACCCGTTTTCTACAAGGTAAGCGAGTTTTTACTTTAGTTATTCCTGATTGAATATTTTTTCAGCTTTTTAGAAGAATTTTATGTAATCGCCTAGTGTAGCTCTGGCAGCGATTATTTTTACAGTTTGTAGGCGTCGTGTTGATAGAACAGGGAGCATCGAGAATCTGGAGATATACAGCATGATGACTGTGTGTTGTGCTCTTTGCAATTTAATCATGTTGAAGATATCTTTTGTCCTGTTTATCTTTTCAAGGTAGAAAAAAGGGACATACACTATTAGTTAGGTTTTAATACACAGCATGGACATAATTTGCATTTAATTTTTAATGCCTGCTCACCCACTTAGCTTAACCTTTTGAGTTTTTCACATGAATTGCTTTTAAGAGTTTGCATATCTAAGAAGCTGAAG